GATTACTTCAAAGCTGAAGGTGCTTTGGGAAAATATATAGCCTGACAGGCAAGAGTAAGACTTTGTGACATTGTTTGAACGTGCTGAAAGCTTTGTGTTCAAACTTTTCTTCAAAAAAAGAGAAAGACTTCATGATAAAACTTGGCTGGTTGTTTAAAGGCCTCTGGCCTGTTTTAATACAAAACTTATTTGATAAAAGACAACCTGACAGTTGAGGTTTTGCTCTAGAAGCCAACTTTGAGGTACCTTGCCGTTAAACGTTATTGTAAACTGTGGAAAGAGAAGAGCGAGAACGTTTTCACATTTCTCCTGCGGCTCACTAGGAAAGCTTTCTCGGCGTGGGCGATTTAGAAAAGTGTGAGAACTACAGACATATATGTGATGCACAGCAAAGAAGAACGGTTTTGAAGTCCATTTATCAAAATTATTTTGTTAAAGTTTGTTTGAGGAACAGAAACTTAATGAATGTGGAGCATTGAAAGTACTTGTTAGTTGTTTCTCAGTTGGGCATCTATACAGTGTAATAGATGGTCTGATTGAGCTCTGCAGTGAGGGGAGGAGATAAATAGCAGCAATTCTATTGTGGTTCTTAGTTGATGTAAGAAAAAAATGGGAAGAAAATGGATTCTGGAATGAAATAGACAAGAATAGTTGTTATTTTTAACACCAATACTTCTAACTTCCTCTTCATCTACCTTGTAGCTAAACCTTTAGTGTCTAATGTGTCATAAGTCCTGATTAATTTAAAGCTCGCTATCAACACCCAGCATCAACCTTCCTCACTGTTAAGGTAAGAAGTAATTATTCTTCTTCTAGTTGATTGTAGATTTGGTGTTTCTGGATTGCACTCTCTTTAAACTCTGTTTTCTAATCAGATAAAGTAATCACATTTGCATTCTTTAATTAACCAGAAAGGAGAAGAATGATGAGCATTGGGTTGAGGACCCTGCAATAAGCAGTTTTCCACTTGTGAATAGCACTCATTTTGACGTCCAAGTTGTGACGCCAACTGAGGCATCAAACATCGTCTGTAACTTAGTGGCAAATTACAGACTAATGTTTCAATGCTTATCTTGGTTAGATAAGCACTGAGAATCCCCCAAAACATTCCTAAAAAGCATGTAAGCCTCATATGTAAGCCTCATTCTTTATTCACTGTAAATAAAGAATTGCTTTGCACTAAATACTAATTACAGATAGATTTGTCAAATTAAAAAGACCCTTGCAACCCAAGCTGCAACAATTGGACTAAATGTTTTTTTTGTGTGTGTGTGTGTTTTTTTCACCATGGATAAATATTTGCATTTTTCCCAAAGTGGATGTGCTTTACCTGACCCTAAACCAAGGTCTCACTTTCTGTCTCACTCGCAACATTCTCGTCAAATTGCTGTATTCTTGGTCAAAATTCAATCCAGTTGGAGACGCAGTCACAGCTGCAAAAAGCCACTTGCACTTTGTTTGCCTTTGTTATTTTCTTGTGTTTATAGCTGACGTGGTGTGGCAGCCTAATGTGGATGTTCCTTACTCAATATTTAGTGACACTTAGAGGTCTAAGGGAGTAAAACTAATGTTTTGGGCCGATCTTTGTTTCTCCTGGTGGATGTGGATGAGTCATTTGGTTGTTTTTCTATTTTCATATCAGTTTTTAATTATTTTTAATTTTTAATCATATTGCTATCTTTTTCACATGTATAATAAAGTGGTTTACACTGTGATAGATTGACATAACTTTAATAATAAAACTGGTTCAAATCGGGACACAGTAGCGTAAATCCTGTGAATTTGAAATTGCAGAATGAAAATCTATTTCCAATAAATGATGTGTGACATAAAAAAGGTCTAAAGAGTGCAACCACCTGTGTGAGTGCAAATCCTCTGAGCGCTCCTCTCCAACATTAAGGTCTATTACTGAGCTTTTTTTTTCACATCACATACTGTGAAAGAGACCAAAGACAACTAGTTATTTCAGCTGGTTGTTTTAGAAAAAACTGTCAGAAGACTTGATTAAGTGTAAGAGCCGTTTCATTAACTTAACTCGCAGCAGGTATTTCAACTTAAACACAGGTGCAGCTTTATAACATCGCTAATTACTGCGTTTCCTTTATGGTTGCAAGCTTCACAGTTCTGACATTGCATCACTGGCATAGCCTCCATTAGTGATTTTAGTTACAGGAGAGCTTTTCCTGCTAGGGAGTTAAATGGCTGCTGTAAAAGGACTCAAACCGCTGCAAATAAAGTTCAAAGCAAGGATGTCAGTGGGGGTTCATCAGCCTCTATAAAAGACATTTCATCTGTAATGTCGACTCTAGGTAAGATGTGTTTATGTTCGCTCACTAGGCTCCAGCTACATTTTCTCCTTTTAACAAATTTTTTGACCTATGACGTTTAGTTTGGGTTGTTTCCTTGCTGATTTGATTTCTTTTCCACAAATCTAAGAGCTAAAACTAAGGATTATTTTTGTAACAGGAGATCAAAAATATTTTTAGATGCTAAACTTATTAGAGCAACCCCTGCAATAACAAAGTTTGTTGGACTCCTGATAATAATCATCTTTTGTCATTTTTGAGTATTTCTTCTAGAGGTTTACTTTCACCACAAACACGCAAGTCTAAAGCCAACATTTCATGCAGTGTGGCGTTTAGGTTGACTGTGTGAAAAAGAAAATGAGCCGTTAAAGTAAACTGTCTTGTTCAGATATTTAAAGGCTGACATAACCCTGAAAACCCACTTACAGTCTAAAAAATGTTGTCGCTTTCCGCTTTTATGAAACGCTGCTCCTTCTTTGGTTGAAAGGCTTTTATTTACCATGTTTCAAATATATCATGCTTACGTTTATGTGTGTGAGAGCATGAAAGTATGTTAGCCTTACTCTTTATTGAGGAGTGCATTTGGAAGGCCGTTCGTCTCCGCGTGCTCGCGGACACACGCATGAATCTGCACACGCAGACACACAAGGCTGGCGTGTTTCAAATATGAAAGTGCATTTCAGGGAAAGGCTTCTACTGAGGAGAGAGAAAAGATGCAGCAGAATGCCTCTTCAGAAAGGGAGAGTGGGAGGGTGAAGCTGAACCTAATGTTATAGATAGCATTGCAATCGGTTGGACTGGATATTGTGCGGGTAAGATAAGAATACAGAGGCTCACACCCTCTGAGAGGAAGATATATTGACTAACCCGAGAAATATTTTAACCGCTACATCCGAGTGACTTCAGAGTTTGGGTTAAAACAACAATATGATTCTTAAAGGATGATGTGCTCAGGAATTATGTAAAAATGTATGTACAGGACAAATGAATAAATCATGAAATCATTAAAATAAAAGTTATTAGAGTTTATAATTAGTTAAATGCGTTTCTTGTGTTTATAGCTAACGTGGTGTGGCAGCCTAATGTGGATGTTCCTTACTCAATATTTAGTGACACTTAAAGGTCTAAGTGTCACTAAATATTGACACTTAGTGACACTTAGACACTCTAATACCACACCATTGTATGATCCGTGCTCATACAATGTCACCATTTTGTCAAACTCGTCCTTCCAGCGGGGCCAACACGATCTATTGAACTTCATTAGCTTAGCTTGATTCTTTGAAAATCTTTAATTCTCTGGAAAGTTCTGGAAACTTTCTGTGTGTTCATTGGTGGAATTTTACAATGAGACAACATGAAAGCAGGAGAGTCATCCAGGCCATGCTGTGGATGAAGTTGAAGAATTGATTGAATGCCACACAGAGGAAGTTGGTCTCTGATTGCATCTTCCAATTCGAGAAATGGCTAAAGGGCAATTCCGCCTTATTTTTCACTACCCAGAGCATCTTTAATCAGCTCTAGTCTAAGAACTATGAATCTCAGGCACTTTGTACTTGGATTAGATTATTCAATAACATTTTCAGGATATTTAAAATTCTGTGTGAGATCTGTGAAACCTTTATTTGATATCTGAAGACGCTATAAAGGGCAAGTTTAGCGTTTTTCATGCATCTGAACCACATTAAAACAGCTCCAGCTCAAAAAGAAAAACTTTTCTTTTCACCTAATAATTTAGTTAAAACATGAACTAAATTATTTTGGACTGACATTTGTGCCTCCAGACAATTCTGTCTTGGATGTCTGCATACAATTTGATTTCATGTTTCATCTTTGCTCTTTGACCTGCACTGTCTAAGTGCAAAGTGTTTTATAAATAACTTCGTGGAAAATCCTCATCAGAAATAAAGACTTTCAAACATCTGTCTGTGTGTTAGTTTATAAAGTTTCTGAAAAAAAAATGTTTTTCAATAATATTTGAATCTATTGAATAGGTCTGTATGCAAGGGAAAGCAAATAAAACAGTTTGCTTGCCCTGTGTGGGCCCTGCATGGTAATAGTTGTAAAGAGCAAAGTCCTGCTTCTTTTTTCTGATCCAGCGTCAATTGAGTCACATCAACCTCCGTCAGTCAGCGCTTGCCTGCATGTGCCAGCATAACTGATTACCAGCTTGCAATTCCACGTTGATGACTCAGCTCATCCTGCTTATTCCAGCATATTTATTTTATACGAGTAGCACAGACACAAGAGAGAGAGAGAGAGTGCTTCCCCCACCGTCTAATGCAAAACCACAGGAGATGTCAGAGAACAAAGCATAGACAGTGGTGTATACTGAGAAACCCCCGCTTCAGCTGGTATGAAAATCCAATATTTCCATTAGACGAACCAAATGAGATTAAAAACAACTAACCATTGCATAGTTTAAATAGTTTTTTTGGAAATTAAGCAATGTTTTTAGATGAAAATTAAGAAAGAAAATACTGGGGCTTTTATTTAGATAATTATTGAATGTATCACATGAACACAGTTGCACAGTTCCATTATTATTCCACTTTTTGAACGGGTTACTAATCAGATTATTAATTCACAAATTTGGATATTTGATAAAAATCTATCGTCTGAAAATACTCTAAACCCAAATGATGTTCACATTTGAATTGTGGACATTTACTATGGGAACGAAATGAGTTGTACCTGGTAGAAGTGGCTGTCCTGTCATTCCTATAGGAGGCATCCCCATGTTGTTCATAGCAGCTGCCCAGGGGTTGGGGTCAGACATGGGCATCGTCATCGAGTTGGAGTCCATCGTCATGTTACAGATCCCTTCTGCAGAGAAAACAAAAAAATATATTTTTTTTTCGTCAAACGAGCAAACAGCCTGAATCACCAATGACTGTATGACTTCAATAGGAGAGTATTCACCTCATTTTATGACTTATTCCTATGCAAAGCCTTTAAACCCTAATAATGTGCATCATTTCATCACATCAAAAAAACTTGATGTTATATAGACAAAATATGATCCTGTACGGGGGCCAAACCCTCATTAAGTTAATCATAACAGTAACAGTAAGGTATGGCCATATTACTGGTGTCAAGGTACACTGAGGTTTAAAATCTTACGGCTCAAAAAAACAAACAAAAAAAAAAACACTAAAACCCCTCAGGCATGCAGCTCTTAAGGTTTAAAGTTTAATAAAATGCCAGGGAAGAATGTTTTCTCTTCTGGAGCACAGAAAAATGAGATTCTGCACAACCCCAGTGTGTTGCTGCTCACTAATGGTCAAGTGGCTGAGAGAAAGCAACTACAAATTCAATGGCTTACAAGAAAACATAATTTTTCCATTTTGAAATATTTCTGGTTGTGAAAAACAGCTAGAGATTGCTTACATGAGCAAACAGCCTGACTACTTAATCAGCTAATACCAGCTTGCTATGATTTTTGATAATGAATTTAAATTATTAAGTGAATCTTCAAATATGTATTTACCAAAATCACATGTGTGATTTATGTAAATATGACCAATGTCATAGTGGAGATATTTACCAACAAAGGAGATGAAATTATTGCTTTCCTGTTTCCAAAAATACAATCAGATCAGATTTTGTGGAAATACCAAAAAGTAAAAAGGTAGTTTTACTAAAGTTTACCATAAAGTGAAAATCTAGCATCAAGATTAAATGAGAGAGTTATTGAGATGAATAGTTAATCTAGCAATCAGCTACCACATAAAGCACTAATATCCTTCTTGGAAAAAAAATATAAAGTTCCATACTTTTAAGAAAGACCTGAGAAGCCTAAATTAAACAGCGTAAAAATGACTTTTCAGAATTTATATGTTAGTGTAAAGCTGAAGTGACAGTGTTTTAAAGTCAGTTTTCAGCCCACAATTGTTGCTTTGTCTGTTCTCTGAGGGGAGAGGAGGCCACCGCTAGTTTGCAGTCAGTCTCTGAACACTGATTTCAACAGTACTGTCACGGAGAATCTGAGTGCTGCTGTTTGTTTGGTAGCTTCAGCTGGCCGGCCTTTTGACACTTCCTGTCTCAGTGACTAGCACTGAGAGCCCACTGGAAATTATACTGTATCACAGAGGAATAGCTTCAACTCAATTTCAAAATGTTCTTTGGACAAGTAAAGGTTGACGAATGGGATTAGATTAGTAATAACATAGAAATGAACAGCAGTGCATCCTCTGCTCTGCTTTTCTTTGCAGGCCACAGAAAATAATGTCTAAAACTAGATTATTATGGTGCTAAGCATAACTCCTGATGCCATTAGTTACTCCTCAGACAGTCTGTAACTAAAATGTTGATAAATCTTCTATTTATCTTCTACATTATGCACACATCTTGCCAAACCAACAGCCACCAGAGTTTGTGCATTCGAGTGCTTCATAATAAAGCAAATGCATTCAGGACTGCACAATAAAACCCCTGCAAGAAGGTCAACATGTACACATCATATGTCAACTGGCAGCTCATTCTTCTTGTCTGCAGTCTATTTCACAGCTCTAAATGCTCTTTAATTCTCTCCTCTAGTCGACCTCTTTCTCTCTGACAGACCTGTAAATTGCTGTGACTGCTGGCCAAGGCAGACTGCCCTCTTCTACAATGCCAAAGCAAGCACAACTGTTAATAATGAGAAGAGCTGCACTCTGCACACACTTTACTCTACAGAAGGTCTCAGGCAGAGCACACCTTAGAGCCAACAGGTATGAATGTATGTGCTTCTGTCTGAACACAAGCCAATATATTGGTATTCTCGGTGTTGAGACACAGCTGGCAATGTGTAATAATGCTGTCTGCCTCTTTGCCTTCTCTCTGAGTCACTAATTGCAGAGCTGTCTGCTGTCGCTGCCACAGAGAGGCCTGATAAAACCAAGCATGCCTGTGTGTCGCTGTGATAATGCTGCTGACGAGGACTTCACAGGCTTGTTAACGAACGCAGCCCTATTAACTGGGGACACTTTTCCAGGAGTTAAAATGAAGGAGGAGAGGAGCACTGAGGAGCTATTTTATAGCTGTTTTATTACAGTTTTACAGTACATTAACCAGACTCTCCAGAGAGCTTGTGAGTACACTCACTCCCAGTTGGACAGGTGATGTCTTCTGGTTAGAGAAGTCCTTTAGTTTCCCTAAAAGCTAAATTAGAATAAATTGTGTCCATAATATGAATAATTTACAGACTGATGATGGATGAATGAATGATGAAGAGAAAGAAGATGGAGAGATGATTGACAAATTGATGAATGATGATTGACAGATGAATGGATGATGAATTATAGATAATATATGGATGATTGGATGAAGAATAAGTGGATGGATGATGGCTGGATGATCAATGAATGGATGATGGCTGGATGATGAAATACACATTACTGATAGATGGTAAATGGATAACAAATTGATTGATGAAGATGGATGGATAAACCAATAAATGGATTGGTGAACAAATGGATGGATGACAAAAATTGATGGATGATGAACAGCTGAATGGATAGGCAGATAAAATCCTGCATTTGAGGGTTTTTTGAAGTTGTTTCTTTTTCCTTAAGCATATTTTATTAAAACAAGTCATCATGTGTGACTTCTGGAACAGCTTGGAACGAACAAGCAAACAGCTTGACATAAATAATAATTTTTAATATTGCTTGAATTTTTCAAACCATTTGTCTGAAAGCCAGTGAAACACTAAACACCAATAATTGCTGCAAAACATTCTGCTCATCTGTTCTCAAAATGCAAGCTAAAAATATAATAAATCCCACTTATTATTTTATCTAATAGGTTGCTAGATAAAAACAGAAGCAGAATCCATTTTAGTTCCTCACCAGACATATAGAGTACATATTGATTGTGCAGCTCAAATTAAAGTCCCACGCACTTAATCGATTCAGTCAGAAATGTTCAAGTGTTCTTGAAGTGGAGGTCAAGTTATCTCCACTATGCTAGCCTCTTGACCCTGCTGACAAAGTCTCCATTGGAGCCATTCATCCCACAATTCATGTGTCTACTGCAGTACACATTCATTTAGGTCTCTCATTTTCCACTCCAATTTGTTTTCACCACACAGAATCACACATCAGTGGTCAATCCACTCTCCTATTTTCACAATAATCTCATTTATTTGATCATATTGTATTCTGGGAGGTGAACCTGTGCATGTTCACCCCTCAGTACTTTTGATATGACAACATGCCCTTGAGGGCAACAGTTTAGTCCCCTAAACGTGCCATGTGACACTCATGGATTGATATGTGGAGTCCAGTAAGGAATAGCAAACAGCTGCGGACACACAGGGGCTGCAAATGCATGAAAACACAGATAGACGCACACAGGTTCACCTTGGCGGAAAGGAGAACCAGCAGCAAAAGCTGTCAATAAGGAAATCAATGTCAGTAAATATCCAACAATGAAACGTGAAGATGAGGTCTTAGCTAAGCCATTAACATGCACATCCAGCTGAAGAGCTCAGAGCAAGGGTAAATGAAAGATAGAAGAAGAATCAATAGAAATAATAATTATAATAAAAAAAAAAAAGATTTTCGGCTGTTAGCTGAAATGACTGTTTCATGCAAATGCCAAATCTAATAACACAATTGGAACAAACTTAGCATGTGTAGCCCAAGACCTCCTGACACTGAGATCTAAATGTGGAGCTCTGAAGACTGGAACTTAATAAGTCAATCTGGTCAAGCTTGGCTGCATTTAAATAGAGGTGCAGAGGTCATACTTCCCCCTTTTCTCATGGGATGGGCTGACACCATTTCAAAATGCAAAGCTTCGAAATACAGTAAAATGAACAGGATAATAATATGTGTCTTGCTTTCATTAGGCTACATATTTTAGCACATTAAAAAGTGATCTGGATAATCCCTTTTGAGATTTTAAAAACCAAATATTAGACAAATTCATTTTATTTTAGTAATTTAACTAAAAAGTGAAATGCACAGATTTATTCAAACACAGTGATGTACCTAAGCATTTATTTTGGTTCATATTGACTCAGAGTCAATATTTTTAGAGTCAAAAAGACAAAACAGCTAAAGAAGCTGGCTAAACTAAATTAACGTTTCAAATTTACTGAGATTAAAATGTTTATATAAAGAGATTTTATAAGTCAAACTACGTTCGGAGAATAACACAGGCCACCTGTATGAAAGCAACCTTTACCACCAGAGTATATTGTTTGCATTCAGGATATTGCCCATGGCAATTAAAGCAATAGTGATTTCCATTCAGCTCGGGCCCATCCAGCCCAAAGCTTTCCTGATACTCATTCTCTGCAGGATGTGACCAGCTTTTAGCTTCCCTAAAATTCCCCCAGGAGGTAGATAGGAAATTAAGTCATTTAAAGGCCCATTGGCCGTAAGCCCCAACAGCAGGCAGAGAGAGAAAGACGCTGGGGGCCATTTAGTCTAAAATGTGCATGGTTTTAACAGCTAACCAGAGATTTATGATGGTCCCTGGAGAGTAAATTCAAGGGGGACCGAAAGAGATTAGGGATGGAGATAAAATGAGAAAGAAAACGTTGCCTTTAATGGGGGGGGTTGCGATGCTGATGTAAGAGAATGACAAAGGAAGCAGGTGAAATGATGGAAGCATTTCGAGCTCACGTTCATACACAGCAACAGCTGATGAAATGCAGAAGACCAGCCTTAAAAACAGCAACTATTTTATTCAGTCAGTCTTTAAGTTTTGGTTAAAAAAAACAAAACAAGAAGAAGAGTATTGACTGGTTTCTGCTTTCCTAAAACTGGAAAATGAACACGGTCAGCTGAATAAGTCAGCATTTTAACACAGACAGGCACATCATTAGTGGAAAA